TATATATATATATATATATATATATATACACACACACACACATACACACACACACACACATATATATACATATATATATTTTAGAGTGCAGACACTCGGTATATATTAAGTGGGGACATACAATGCTTCTCCTTCATAGCATGGCTTGCTTCACTCAGCAGTAAGTCTTCCATATTCATCCACTTCCTTTCAAAAGCCACGGTATATCTCACTTTTTTAAAAAATTGTTTATTCTTGGTTGTTCCAGTAGAAGGATAAATCTAAACCCTGTTATGCCACCTTGGCTGGACGCAGACATAAACATTACTTGTATTTCCACCGTACGGATGAGACCAACAACTGAAATAGATTGATTTTCTCCATGACCCATGAGTGACAAAGTTAAATTTAGACCTACCTTATATAAAAAAGGATATAATTACAGGCATACACTCATAATAGTATATTATGAGCATACTCTCACATACACTAACAAGAATACACATTAGCCTGGTATATGTATATGATAAATATGACTCTTAAACATTAGCTATAAGTTCTCCTTAAGTTTCAACTTTTGAGGGATCCAAGTCCCAACAGCCTAAATTTCATTTCTTACTCTACTACTTCCTAATTCTCTGATGTCAAGCACATTAAACTTTCTAAACTTCAACTTATTCATATGCAAGGTGGAAACAATAATAATACTTGCCAAATAGTTGTTGTAATGATCAAATTAGATAATCCATCTAAAACCCTTGGCACAATGGCAAAAATTGTTTTTCCAAGTATTTGTTATACTAAATGGTGTGTCCAACAGATGCTCAATAAAATGTAGTTCTAATCCCAATTAAAATAAAGTTTTTTCTTTCTCTGTGGCTTTCTTGATACTAAAATTTGGCTTTTTTCTCTCCAGATTACTGAGAATTTACACTGAAAATATGAATCACACAACTTTTCAAGAAGCTAACTGCTTCATTTGATCCTTGATGGACATTTGATGTGGAATGTTTCTCTCTTCACTGATCAAGTTTATAAAGCTGCCTATCTTAAATTTTTTCTTTACTGGTTACATTATTTTTTTCTTTCTTTCTTTTTTTTCAAACTTTCCTTAAATCATTACGCATCTTTATAGCTTGCAACATAATTTTTCCCAGCTTGCAGTGCATGTCAACCAAGTCAAAGATATCACCATATACATCATTATCAACAGATAACTTTGCATTCTTGTGTCTGTTAAATTTTCTTTATCCCAGGCCCCTCCTTCATGTCCCACTTCTTTCTATACACTCTCTGTATCTATGCTTGTCCTCCTTGCTATAACTTCCACTTTTATCAGTCACCTTTTACAGTTGCCCAGTCACCTTTACAGTTGCCATCCAATTAGATTCTCTAAATGAGATCCCCATATTTGTATTTTTTTGTCTATCTGTCCTTAATCAAGCACTTTATAGTTGTTCAAGCTCATTCTTTAATTTACCCACCACTTAGTGCTGTACAAATGGAATTATGCTCACTTACTTTCAAGTGAGTCACCTCTCAGTTGCTCAGTCCCAATGTTAACACATGAAACCAGAGTTGTGTTATCATTTTCCCCACTGGAACCACATGGTGTAGTAGTCAAATTCATATGTAATTATATTTTTGTGTTTCCACTGAATCTTTCTCTGGTCTTGACCTTACAAGAAGAAGAAAGAACAGTATTATTATCCCTTGTATATTTGGTACATGCTGTGGTTTTTTTAAAACTTGGAGGAGGTTGAGGAGTAGAGATGAAATACAGAAACCAACATCCATACCTGAGGGGTTAAAGATTTCCACAGAGCACACAGGCACCTTTTGGTAAATGATCTCATTAAGCAACCATCACTGGGGAATCGCACCCTGACTCCACACATCTCTCACACCATTCACTGGGACACTGGGCTATGTACTTATTATGTCCCAAGACAGTGGAGACTTACATACAAAACTGCAAACAACTCAGCGAAGTTGCTAAAAATAATTATGTTTCAGTAGTTGATTCTAAGCAGGAAGGGAGAAAAATGTATTTAGCAAAACCAGAAATATCTAACAGACAGTGGAGTGGAACTGAACAAAATCTCATATATAAATAGCATTTGGGTCCCATCTGAATTTAGTGATAAGGACTGTAACAGTACAAAACAAATGTACCTTATGCAGCATTTGTCATCTAACTCTGGTTCTCAGACACTTCATAGCATTAGATAATGCAGTTACCGAGAGATCTAATAGCAGAGGGACAGGAAAATTAAAAGACTTAAAGTCAGGTAGGCACAGTTGTATATCAAATAAGATTTACAAGAAATTGCTACTCTGACAAGACCCAGATGACTCAAAAAGGCATGGGGAAGAAAAGGAATATTTTAGAATGAAAAGCACTAGGTTCAAAGATCATCAAAAAGGAATATCCCACACCCGTGTGTGGTTGACCTACCATTGTTGACCATTGCTCTAATCACTTCCATATACTCTATTGCATTCTATCTTCATAAATCTCTTTGATATACGTCTTCACCTTACATGGGAGAAAAAAAAATTCAATGTTCTGAGAGTGAAAAAGAACTTATCCCAAAGGCAGATAACAAGTAACAGAGGCAAGACTCAAGCTGAATCTCCTAACCTGGAGTTTTTGAACATTAATGCTCACGAGTGCCTTCATGCACACACACACATGCATATATGCATACACACATCATCGAGGAAGGTTCACAAATACTACATTTGCAGTCAGTGGATCTAGGGTAGGAATGTGTACAGGGCACAAGAGGTCTAGAGGCTGGTCAATGAAAAAGATACAACCATGAGAGACAGTAACACACAATGGGCTTTATTTATTTAAGCAGCACTTTGTCATAAGAGGGAAAGCTCCTCTCTGCATGAAATATAGACTTAGAGAAAGGGGCCACCATCCAGAAGAGAAGGAAGACGAGGGAGCTCCCTGGGGAAGAGGATCAGAGATGATGTCCCTCAACAGTAGGCAGGGAGTCTCTGGGTCAGAGAACGCTGAAGGGCAGTAGTGGTTTGGGCATTAGAACTATAAGACCTTATCTTACCAATGGGTAGCAGCTGTTGGGTGGGTTTTTCTATGGTATGCAAAGAAAGTAGGCTCTAAGTGGCTAAAAATCTGCTTGTTTGGGGCTATTTTTAAAAATAATTGGATGTGTAAATCTTTGGGTTTGGCATTGGCAAACTTTTGAGCTAACAGCTTGCAGTAAGGAAATAAATAACCCAGGGGCCAATATACAGAGGCCACCTTTGGCTCATTTGCCTGACAGCAGGACCCTCATTTGAGATAACTTTTACTGCAGTTATTACAGACTACACTTTGAGAAAGAAAGAAAATGATTCAAACTCCAGGTGTTGGACACCCTGCATGGCATCACAGCCTGCTCAAACAATGGATAGACACAGCCATTGGTGGTCTCCTGGGAAGACCAGAGAAAGAGGGCCAGCACAGAGTCCCTGCCAGTGTGTGCATGAACTGGGGCTTGGGTGGAGGGGTGTGGTGCTTAGGACATGGGTCACAAATATGTTTCCTTCATTTTAATGAGGAAAAATTCTCTTTATAAAAGTCAAATTGCTGCAATCATGCTTTATGACCAAAGTGAAAATAGGGGAGCTTTGGCCAATGAATGTCCCAATTCTGTTAGGGTCAAATAGCAAAATACACCAAACATCTGCACCTTATGTTATGATTCAGCCCAACATATACATGGAACTACATGCTCACTGATGGCAGGAATCAATTGTGTCTGAGGCACAGTCATGATCCCAGTAATAAAAGCGAGGTGTTTCCAACAAAGGTGGCTAGTTCACGAGCACTGACTGAAAAACGAATAGAAATGTCCCACTGAATGAGCTCCAGGTATCCTCATGGTGCATCGAGAATGCTGCTTGGGGCCATGTTACTCGAGTCAATTCTCCCGTCATCGGTACCAGATGGGGACTTGAAATTCTCTCTTTACCACAGAGCTGAGTCAGAAACCAAGGCTGCCACTGGGGATGTGGCATTTAAACTGGTGCTTACCAAGCTTATAACAGTGTTTTGAGGGGAGTAGAAGAGTAGGTAAGAGAATGAAAAACCTTGGTTGAAAAAGAAAAAGGCTTACTGATAGGAATGATGAAGAAAAAAATGAATCTTCTCTTAGTCTTTTGCTTCCACTGTCTTGTTCTCACTTTATTCTTTGTCATTCAGCCAGAACCTCTTCTCCTTTTATATTTTCATTTTTAAATTTTATATCAAAATTTCTTCTCCACTGCCCTGGAATCACCTGTCAGGAAGCTAGTATTTGGTCTTAACACTAAATTTGCTACTCTTAATTTCTTTTCTTTACTTTTTTCTTTCTTTTTTTTTTTTACATTCAATCACTTTGTATCATTACAACATACCAAATGAACTTTTGATTCATGAATACACTATACATTGGTCCAGTTAAAGATATTACTATACACACTATCATCAACAGATAATTTTCCATTTTTCTGTCTCTCAGATGTTTTGCTTCCTTCTCAATTTCAAACTGCTCAACCCACAGCTCCCTCTAAGCACACCCAGATTTCACCTCAGCTGAAACGTGCCCTAACTCTCAGCTCTGCAGCCAGATCATGCAGAACCTCCTAGTGAGGGTAGGGCTCTACTCATCTTCAATGAGAGGGAAATGAAATAAGAATTCTAAATTGCAATTGCCAACATTGTGTTCTATAGTAAAAACATATAAATACTTTTTCTTTTAAAAAGATAGTTTGTAAATATGGTTCTTAAATTCCGAATATGCTCTGTGCAGAGAAAAACTGTGGTTCACCACTGCCCTCATTTTTTCTTTGATGGTAGAAAGGACCCATCTTTCATTGTAATACATGCACAGGTAATTTTAAGACTATAGGGACACTTTCTGTTCCTTATGTAACCCATGGCATTTCTTATATAGAAAACATTGTTAATGCCCTTCCCTCTACTAAGAAACCTTCCTGTCCTCACTATCCCCTGGATAGTTCCTGGTGACCCTTTAGACATCACTTCTTTTTTTTTAATTTTTTTTATTATTATTCATACATTAAATGACTATACATCATTTAGCTTGTGAAGAGACTTTATCCAGCATGATATACACCTCAGTTCAGCCCAGTTGAGACCACCAGAAATCTAATCTGTGTCCCACAAGTGTCTTACCTCTCCATTTCATTTCACCCTCACATTTCCTATGCTCTAGACATCATGTCTTAAACCCAGTTCTCGAAGTGTGGTCCATGGATCAGCAATACCAGCAGCACTTGAATGCATGTTAGAAACACTGAACCTCAGACACTAGTCCCACCTCCTGAATGAGTCTGCATTGAAAATAAATCCTAGGGTCCTTCACATGCATGTTAATCTTGGGCAAGTACAGCCCTAGCTGTTATCTTCTTAGACAGAGTCACAACTCTGCTCCCATTTCCTTGTAAATACTTCTTATTATATTATAATGACTTTATAAAACTCCCTCATTCCAGAGCAGGGGATTTTGAATTGCCTGTGTATAATTAATTGTACTAATTACAACTCATGACTGGAGAGTGAGGTCAATTTAATGGGCCATAACAAGGTTCTTTTTCAAATTAAATAAAGTAAAGTAAACCACTCTAGAATGGAATGGACAAGTATTATCTTGTAAAACTAAAAAATGTATGTCTATTGTGTGTCTTCATGTATATACTCTGTTATATATCTCTCTCTCTATTTCTATATATGTATTATGGGTTATAAGCATAAAGGATTGAATGCCTTTCCTGTGCCTTATTGAATTGTGGGACTATTTGACTCATTTCCTGTATACATAACATCTAGCATAGTAATGGTATAGAGTAGGTGCTCGAAGGATATGGAATGTTGCATGGGAGGCTAGAGATAATCGGAAATGACATCAACTATTAGTAAAGATGACAACCAATGAGAAGATGACTAACAGAAGGAAGGACCTGACATAGCCCAGGAAGTATATATATCAATCAATGTGATACACCAAATTTACAGAATGAAATATAAAAACTTCATGAGTCTCTCAATAAAGGCAGATCATCATGCCTTTTAAGAGACTCCAGACTTCATCTGACTTTAGAAATATTCCTGAGAATGTCAGATAAGGTTTAATAGAGAACAACCATCGACCTTAGCAATATTGAACAGAATTAGAAGTTTTGAGAAGTGAGAGAGAAATGAAGAACTGAGTAGGGGAAGATTCAGGCTTGAACCCCAGGCTGAATATTACATTTTAAGACATTAAAACAATGAAGGCCTTTCTAGAACCAGAATCAGTTATTGATCCATTCATTCCATAGTCATTTATGTAGCACTCTAAAATGTGCATATAATTTCCGGGCACTGGTGATACAGAAGTAAATGAAATAGAAAAAAATGACACTATTCTTATGGAGTTAACCTTCCAATGGAGGGAGAAAGAAACAAACCAGTAAAACCTCATATTTATAATATTTTTACATTAGACCATCCAAAACTCTGCATTTTACTTACAATACTAATAGGATATGATATAATGTAGAACAATTTAATATACATGGATGCATATGATATGATTATACTGGAAAAACTGATAGAAAGTGAGAGACAGTAGCCCATACTGCCTGAGCACCCTACTCTGTGAGTTAAGGAAGATTAGGATGAGAAGAGAGCTACTCAAGAATGCAAGATCTGAGATTCATTCCGATTTTTTTATGTGATTTAATTTATTAAAAATTTTCATTTCTTTTTGGCTAAAGTCTGGCAATCTGATATCAAAGAAAGGTGGCACTGTAAAGTCTTAGATTAATCAAGCCTACCGATGAGAAAACCCTGTCTGTGTATCCCAGGGCATCAGCCACTGGTGAATTGAGGATAAGTCAGCAAACCCCTATCTGCCTCACCACTACCGTTCCACCAGCACATCACCACTCATCATCCTGTTACCACTTATTTATGAGGATTCCAGAGAAGAGTGTTTGGCATAGCTTCCCTTCTCCAGAATAACTCTCATGGAATTCTCCAATTCTTTCAGCTTTCAGATAAAGAAACTGAGACTTACCAGGATTAGCTGACTTGATCAAGAGTACAAGAAAATCTAGGCACAGAATTAGGAATCTTTTGTGTTTTTCTTGATCTTGGTCAATAAAAAACAACAGGTAATCTAGAATGTCTTACTACCGATAAAAGTTTCCCAGGCTCTATTTCCCTAAGGAGGAAAAAGAACATGACCCAGACCAAGGATCACCTGCCTGTTTGACAATCTCATTGCAGTTCCTGGTTGGGCAATAGGATTTACAGATACCTCACTAAGATGGTAGTCCCACAAGGGCTAACAAAAGAGACTTCTCTTTGAAAGTGTTGTTGTTCACATGTATCCCACCCTTATACATGTACTCTGCTCTGACTTCTGGTCTGTTAAAATCAGAGTGTGTGCCGCTCTTTTGTTTGCATACTCTCTCGACAGGTTTTCAAACCTTTGAAAGCAAAATGTCCATCCAAATTGACTGCTCTGTACTCT